ATAGAAATAATTGAGATAAAAATATTGATAAGTGCGGAATTTTAAACATATGCCGTATTTTAAACATATGCTGTATCACTTCAAAAATCTACAAAAGGAGCGAGATTTCAATAATCCATTAGCAATTGGTCAATTTTTAAATAAACTCGTCGAGCTCACAAAAAAGGAAGGGAAACAAGTTATAGAACCAAATGCAGACAATGAAATCACATCCGATCTGTGTCATGTATGTCGGATCACTGTTGAAGAAGAATGTTACAAATATGGACATTATCGTTGGCATATTGGTTGCTTAAGGTGTTCTGGTTGTTCTCGAGAATTGCGTACCATATACCGTGACGCTACATTTAATCAAATTACTGAAATGACGTTCTGTCCTGCCCATACAAATGAACAAGCCGCACCCGGATTTCAATATGTCACGCAGTTAGAACAGTACACGTATTTGTTACGTGTTGAATTATCTCGCATGTATAATTTATTGAAACGTAAAGGTAAAGTTTAAAACGTCATTTGTTTATATTAGGTTATTTTATCTGTAGCAGTATTTTTTTATTCTGCTATATTCGATACATAATAATAACAATGTACATATATTTTTACGTAAAGATGAACATAGTCTATCGGATTACGATGACATTCGTAGTGGTAGAAAGACTAACAAAGAAGAAGCCGGTCTTGTTCGTAAAGATTCACGTTCAAAGTCCTATTCTAGCGGTGATAAATCATATGTATCTCTTAATACTGACATAAAGCGTATGAAGTCTGTTTTGGATCGCAAAGTGTCAACTTCTGAGAGAATTGCTAAGACATCAAGGGTAGTAGAACATGAACAACCAAATACTTCACAGACTCAGGAAGAAACCTCTAAAGATAAATTAGCTAGAGCACCTTCACAACATCATGTCAGAATTATTGACGATAAAATGCCAGATTCACAAAATGGTGATGCTCGTCTGAAATTTGATCTAGAAAATGAAGCGATTACATTGGCTGATATTTCAGCAATTGCAGCTGCAGAAATGTCAACAGAAGAAAAACCAAAGAAAAAATTCAAACGAGTATCACGTTCTAAACTTTATTTGTCTGAACTTTCAGGCCTGGAATATTTTATTGTAAGGCATGTAGCTGTTCTTATTATGGAACCATACGTTAAGGACTATTTCACCCTGGAAGAATTGTTAGACTTGATTGGATCTAAGAAAGCAACATTGTGGACGAAATTTGTACAGCAAATTAGACCTAAAGAGGTACCTGTAAAGAAGAAAGGTAGGAATTTGTGATGTGGTCCAATTCTTCTGTTATTGTATAAAAGATACAGCATATGTTTAAAATACGGCATATGTTTAAAATTCCGCACTTATCAATATTTTTATCTCAATTATTTCTAT